ATATTCCACTTAATAGTCGATGGTTAGGGTACAGAATTGTGACTACTCTCTTTCATTTCCATCGAAACGATTATCGGCTACGAGGGCAGGCGCATCACGTGCTGATGCGTGACTGTGCGTGTAACAACGTAAAACGAAATTAAGCTAATTTGCATAACTAACATGTCCCCATGCGTCAATCTCGCAAAAGTCGTGCAAGATGAATTCGTCACGCATCAGCTGCGTACCCTGGCGCTCTCTCAGCTTTCGGCAGAAAACACGGTGATTTCCGGGAAACAAATAACCGCTTTGACTCACTAATTAATGACTTCGTATCACTGTGCGCTCGTTTCGGAGTTTCTTTCCTATTGGCAGCGCGCCACGAGAATGCGTATGTTTTCTACGTAAAATCGAGTAGTCACCACTTAACCCCAGCATCGCGCATTTGAACCGAAAGGAAAATCAGGCATACAAATAGCGAACAAACTGGACGGTGACGAGTGACGCACAGTAAAGAATACGTGATACTAACGTTTCACGTCAACGATGACAGATTTGTGAAATAACGTTACGTAATTACTAATTTCAGCCTTGTCATAGATACGTTATCAAATGAGCTGTTTCTTTCTACTTGGATACCATCCAACATTTTGATAGGCCTTTGGGTAAACTTTTGCATTTTGTGTTAGCAAACAGTGTTGCGTTGAAGCTCCAATGCGTATAGGTCAGGAATATTTTGTTTTGCTTGTCCGTTAAAGACCCATGCTTTTAAAACATTAAAAAGAAATTGCCTCTACAAAATTCGATCGTATAGTGTAGAATTGTTTTTATGATCTGATGAGCAATTCCTCAAATAGCCAAAGAACCAAATGAAATTTTTATAATCGCTTTTTAATATTGACACCATTAAATTAACCCTAAAATATTAAAGGTTTAATTTGTTTACAAAGTTACAAAGATATCAACCCTTATACGTTCATTATTCACAAATGTGTATAGATAGATAGATAAGACTCACATGTAATGTTTCGTTTAATTTCATTCAAAAGCGTGAACTCCTTTTTAAGCCTGATTATGCGATTATTATATAACTAAACGTTCTTCAGGAATGATTCAGACACATAATTACAAATAATTTAGCTCAGGTGGCGTTAGGATTCATTTTTATCAGGAGAGCTTGCCTAATCACTATGTAATGCTCTCATAAAGCTGCAATAAAAGATATTTAAATTTTAATTATCATCAGGAAGTGACTCATCCGATGCTCGTGTCTTATCGCTCTTGATTGCGAGCCACTAGACGCAGGTAATTCGAGATTACTCCAAGTTTCTTTTCTCGCTCACTTTTAATGTATTCCCCTAACTCTCTCTCTGTCAAGTGGTATGTGAGATTCACTCACAACCTAATATGAACCTAATAGTTCGATGCCTAAAAGGAATATCCTATCTTTTTCGAATAACTGAAGCGCCAGTGACTCAATTTCGTTTCAGTTGTTCGGACATTATTATTACATCCAATCTTTTGCACTCTACTGATGATGTTACGTTAATGTACAAAATATAAAACATAATCGAGATCAAGTTTTTATTTAGATTAGAATAAACTAAGTTTACGAAGTAGAATTAATTAAAATTTGAAACAATTACATATTTTTTTGAGGATAGAACTCTTTCAATTTTCAAATGCATCGCAAAATTATCTTTAGATCCAAGCAATAATATTGGTCAGCTGCATTTTTTCCTATCGCCAATAGCAGTCAAGGCACGTCATTTCATGCAAGTTATCTGCATAATCAATTCTCCTTTCTATACACTCTAATATTCAGAAAAAAATACAATTTTAAGAACTGTAAATATTGTGTCACGTGAAGTGACCTCTCTCGCCAATGACAAAGTCCACGTGACTTTGTTGATTAAATCCCGATCGGTAGCTAAACAAAAATTTCTTTATTCTCTTCAAAAGATAGTCACGTATTGACAACTAAATTCTTACAAAATTTCTGCATTCGGCATTGTCATGGTCTACATACGTGACAGTTTCTGACACTGATTTCTCTGTATCAATTCTCTGTAAAAGTGGCAAACGATCAGTTGAGGGGGCACAACACTGTAATATTGTTTTCCAAATCGATGATTTTTATTCCATGTCTATAAAGATCTCTATACCATCTCATTTTTCATGAAATTCAAATATGTTTTTTTCAAAGGCTCGTCATATTCTAATTTTTTGAGATATCGAAAAAATCCTACGCCAGGTTACAGCCAGAGATATATAGTTTAAGCAAATATTTGTATTTTCATTTCAAATATACCTACGCTGTAATCATAAAGCTATCAACTGAACATAAGTATCGTGTTTGCGGTGCTCACTTGCGCACGCTGTCGAACCGATTAACGCCATGATAATGACACTACGAGCAGGTATTCGTGTGTTTAAATGTTCAATAAAGTATAATGACAGATTAAAACTAACCTATTGTACAGTTCTTTTATGAAAAATTTCGGAAAATACCTCTCCTTTAAAAGCAATTATTGTTATGCCCCCTTAATGCATTAAAATTTCCCCAAAGTCATAAATAATCGAATTGAATTAAACAAGAGTGTCTAGCCATGATAAACAGAAGGTATCGAAAACAGCTTGAATTGACACGCGTACTTCCCTAAGCGACGGACCGTATAATCCTATTATAATACGGTAGGAGGGTAGCAGTGATAACAATGGCGGGACATCAGGTTCGTTTGAGACACTGGTACCGCACAATTTGGGTAAACCCGGTTGGCATTTACCCCTTTCATGATGCTTCTCGATCGAGGGTAATTGCCAGTGCAGGATGTTGGATTAACTTAACAGGATTCTTCGTTCCCTACAAGGTGAAAGTGCGGATTTCTCAAGGCAATTGGATAGTACAATGTCGTTAACACACCAAACACGCACAAAATTTTTAAATAATCAAGTATAGTATCGTTTGTTCTTGCAGTCACTTTTGAATAATTCTATATACTATACGATTAACAAAGGCAATGATTTCGTTAGCTTCATCTAAGAAAACTCGACTTTTCAATTAAATCCAAAACACTTTCACTATCGTTATTCGAGACAAGCATTACATTTTAATTATTACAATGTCAGAACAAATTTCAGGTGTATCTCCTTTGCTTTGCCCATACATCAATTTGCTTTACGAAGTCCTAACGCCAGTTCTAACGTGTAAGATGTCTATCTTCTCATTATATAACACGAGGTATTCCTATGTATCGAGGTTCGCATACGTAGTCATACTCTATGGCATTTCTTGAATGCTGTGCACTTGACCCCGAAAATTAAACGTGACGTGGTCAGCGTACGCGTCTGCTCTCGTAGGCACGAATCATTTCGCAACTATTGGCGACTCCAGCGTAATCGTTGCGAAAATTGCTACGTCACTCCGTTACCAGCCTATACCGTAAAACCAATACCAGCGAAAGTAGAAAAGGAAGACGCGGAAACGCTTGACCCTGATACGAAATTCGTACCCTTCCACTTTCGAGATTGATTCTATCTTCGCATAAAAATCTTTACAAACTTTTGATCTCCTTATGACGTCACATGGACGATCAGACACGGTTGTGCCACCTGTCGTAACCCGTGGCACCAAAACCCACTAACCGTTACTACAATATCCTACTCATAACGAGATTTCCAATGACGGTGTAATAGAAATCGTTTAGTCACGCCGAAAGTCTTCTTTTCTACCGATCCTTTGCGAACTAAATCATCTCGCTTACCATTTAAATTGGGGCTCTATTTTGGATAGAGCATCTAAAAATACTCGGCAAAAATAGGACCACCCATGCACTGATGCATAAACTATTTGAGTTTATAAATGTGTAATTGTTAAGTAACCATAGAAATGAATTCTAAGTTTAATGGATATATCATCCTGCTCGCGGATTACTATCGATCCCAATTGATATTAAAAAGTAAATAGGGAATAAATTGAAATCGTGTATATTAATTCGTATAGATAATCACGCATCATGAAGTATACGAAAGTCTCGATTAAATATCTGCCATCGATTATCTATAATTTCCAACGGTATAAAAATACTTCAATTAGTACAAACGTTCTTCGACGAGGCAATTTCCTGCCTGGATCTCTTCGCGACTTCTTTAATGCTTCCGAGGAAAAGTTTCCAAGGAAACACCTATCGGAGATCTCTCGTCATCTCTTAATTCATTGATCGAAAGGAAGAAAATACGTTCACTTCCATTCGGAAGTGCGGGCGTTCGTCGTTATCGGCTCACTTCCAAATCGCGTTTTTTTGGTGTACCGAGGGTTCCACGCGAAAGATACGTCAGAGATACGTAAGAGAAGCAGTGAAAGGAAACGTCACCACTGATTTTAGGTGGGAGGAATAAGAAGTTAAGGGGTTAGTTTCAAGTGGGGATTGCGGATACCGAAGTAGGAGCAAAGGAAACATGAGAGCAGATGCGGTTTTGTACATAAATAATGTTATGAAAACATCCAAATTTCCGAATCATGATCTACACTGGTTCACAGAAGAAAAACATTCAAAACGATACCGGTATCGAGAACTTCGCGATGCTCACGTTCGTCGATTACGAATTAATGGCAACGAAGGTCGAATCAAGGAAAATGTCTATTATCACGAACGTTCGCGGAATGCGTTAAGAATAGACTACTAGATATACACCTATGCAAATGAATCATACGTTTACGATAAGTTTTCACTTCTCGAAAGAAAAGGACACTTGGTAGAAAGGTGTCGACGTAAATCGGTCATTATTATTGTCATTTTCATCTCCGTCGAGTATTCCCCCGACATGGTTGTTATCGTCGCAATCTCAACGGTAATCGATCTACGCTGTTTCTCGAACTGCGAGACGCTGTAATTATTGCCATTATCGTCATCTTCTCTATTATTAGCGTTGTTCATCGTTGTTATGACTACGGAAACGTACGCAAGCGTGCGCATGGAGAAGCATAGGCTTGGCTCGGACGTACTCCAACGTTGTTGGTCGCCATTGCTACTTATTAATCGCATTTTCAAGAGGCAAATTTTCATTCGCCGATACTGTATAGAAACGTCTCTTTTTGCAGCGACGTGACGAGAATAACGATCCGTATCGCGTCTTTGTTAACGACAATTGTTATCAAAAGTTGCGCGTATGACAGCGCTAATGACGTATACGCTTACCTGTGCGGGATGACCCCACGGAAAGCTTACTCTCAGATACGATTCATTTATAAAAACACATTAACGCACCGCTGATTCTCACGGAGGAAGCGAACCGGCTAACGACGTGTCTTCCGCTGTGAGCACGGAAAAAGAGCTCGCGTGCCAACGACGGAACGTTCGTGCAGCTGCGAGGACCGAGTCTTCGAACGACATACCACCGAGAAGTCTCCTCGGGATACATACAGCGCGCTTCCAGCATAAATCCGTTCACAGCTTTGGGAAATTTGTGGAGCAGGAGTCGGTGCAGGAGGTGAGATTTTTGCAATCATCGAAGGAAAATCAAGAAAAAGATACATTGCTTAACGGTGAACTGCGAGAAATTTCGAAAACAAATGCAGCGAAGGAAATAATATAGCGGCAATCGAGAGGAACATGTTTCAAAAATTAAAAGTATGAACGTTACTTCAAATATTATTATAACTTTATAACACCTCATCGAGTTGACCATGTATCGAGAACCATGCCTCCCAAACCCCCAAAGAACAGCCACAGTAACTCAGTAAATCTATACGAGTAAGTTTCAGGGTATTAGACCACGTTTTTATTTAATATAATTTATCAGAAAGTAATGCGGTACTCGCTCACGCATGCTGACAGACACAGACTGATGACGTCAGAGTCATATAAAATGCTTGAGACGGATTTTAGAACGACCCCCAGACAAAGACCATATCCATGTTAAAATTGGAATGTCGAATAATAACCTTATAAAAAGTGGTACAGCATCCGTCGTTGACGAAGACGAGAAAAGCGAGAACACAGCATCCGTACCTCGGGACAAACCGATCTTCGATGATCTGTGGCAGATGGTATCGCGCTGCACCTGTGGGTGCAAGGTGGAACGAGCCGTGGAGCGTGCCAGTGTAGCATCAAGTTTCCAGCAGGCTGATCGTGAGACGAAGTCGAGATCGTTTCGTTTAGATGCCCGGCTTCTACTACGTCGGAACGGTGGGGATAAACCGATGGAAGGCGTTTAGTGGGGATGGTTGGTCGCTCGCGGGGAGTTATGAATGAGTCGTGGAGTCCTGACCCACGAGTAGTACGTGGTGGGGGTTGCGGCAGTGGCGAGCGTGAAATAAAGAGGAGGGCAACTGATGGGTGCCGGAGGCGGCAGGGAAGGAGGCAGATGAGTAGAAGGAAAGGACTACGGGGGTGGGGGAGAAAGAAGAATAGAAGAGAAGCAAAGAATGATAAGGCGCGCGCGAAGACGGAGGGAGAGAGAGAGAGAGAGAGAGAGAGAGAGAGAGAGAGAGAGAGAGAGAGAGAGAGAGAGAGAGAGAGAGAGAGAGAGAGAGAGAGAGAGAGAGAAGCGAGTGATCAAGGAAGGGCAAAGATGGTGGGGGTACTTAGGATTGACCGAAAGCGGGGTGTGGGCCACGTGCTTCGGTGCCTTTACAATCGTATATAGGCACCGGTCACCGACTGGCCACTACCATACACCGATAGTCATATACTCGGGGCGCACAAGATAAAAAAGGGAAAGAACGGCGGCCAAGGAAGAAGAAGGAAAAGAGGAAGGAAAGAAAGAAGAAAGAGAATACAATACATAGAGAGGGAACAGGCAAGAGAAACGACCTACCGACAACGAAGGCAGACAGAAGTCCACCTTCCACTTCCATTCCCTTACGCAGGTTCACTCCTACTATAACGACGAACGAACAGCCTGCCTCTGCTCGCTCGCCTGCCTATAGCTGGCTTCTCCTTCTCTGTTTCTATACCGACCTACCTACCTACCTTCTCTGCGCCGTGGTTAACTCGACAGAGGCGAGAGGTGATACACTCGATACACTCGGCCGAACGAGGGCGACGAAGACCTCAGTCACCTCCTGACATTCGGTATGGTACAACCTTACCCCACTGTCGTGAGAGTAACGAGCTGCCGCCAAGAGGAGGGCTGAGAATACCAAAAAGACTCGAAACCCAGGACCAAGGGGGACACCCGGTGAAAGGGATAACGACGGACCGACGTGCCAAAGAGGAAAACCAAGCGAACCAGGATAAACGAAAGAAAAGTAGGCATAGCGCGGGACCACCCTTAACGGTGTACCTAGGCTGATTCTGTTTCCTTTCCTCTACTACACCCCCCGCCATATTCTTAAGTACCTACCGCCCTCCCCACCCTTCCCTCTGGGACACCGCTCGCAACCCCCTTCCCCCTCGTATAAGAATCAGTGCATCGCGTGTGTTCGAACCAGTGCCAAACGAGTTGTGATTCCGTGCGTACAGTTTTTCAATTGTGATCGCTCCCGACACCTCGAGTGACCGGTGAATCGTTTCCAAGATAGAGCAGAGCCAGCCTCTACCCTGTTCTCTACGATTCGTTAAATCGCTTCACCGATACCAGAATACCCCGTGCATACTTCTCGTTTCGACAGTGTGAATTTCGCTATTCCCCGATCTCGTAAATACGTTTGACGGGAGGGTTGAACTTACCCGGCTCGACTTAGTATCGCACGCGTCGGGTGTACCCCTCGCTCGCTACTTAGCTGCCACGCGCCATCGAGAGTGCCTGCGTGCGACGATAGTGATCAAGTGCTATGCGAACATGACAGTTGTAGAGGATACATCGGTCGTATGCGATCGACAAATGACAATGGAGGCAATCCTGACCCGCGACCAAAGAACCACGTCCCACAGAGTTCTCGATCATCGTGTTTCGCAAAACAGTGTGACAGCGATGACAGCTACCACCATAACAACATCGACGAACCGGTGCAACGGCCTGGTCGCGAATTCACGATACGCAGGAGTGATCGCTCCCGGAGTAAACAAGGACGATCAGCCGCAGAGACACTTGAGATGTGATTCGTACTTCGTACCTGCTTTTTACTACGATCGAGGGATACGATCGAAACACAACGCACCCATCACCGCGACCACGTGCCTGAGTAAGTCGAACTACTGACTTCGATACGCGATTGCCAAGGCAACGTGCTCGATATCAGCTGCTTCCCTCTCTATTTTCTTCCCTCTTAGAATCGGTGTATTTCCGGAGATTTTCTCTAATTATCGCACGTTTTTCATCGGCAAGACGCGGTTTGCTCGAAAAAAAGAGAGAGGGAAACGTTCCCCGAACGTGCTACTCTTCTATTATTTGTTTAAACGTTTTGCTCAAGGTGATCCGTTAGGAGTGTTTGGTAAGAGGATGCAAGCTAGGTATTAACGAGAATATAAATTAGTGACGTAATTGATCTACACATTATGAGAAATATAAATGTGTATCTTATTGGATTAATATTCTTGCAAAATTACCGTTTCACGTTCCAAAGAGGGTGTATGCATATTACAGTCTGTTGACCTGTCTTGACTATACTTCGTTTCTACTTGCCGTTCTATTTTGACTATCTGAACAAAAATTGCATCCTCTTTCCGGTTGCAATGACTTCCCCGAATTGATTCGACGGGCGTATCGAGATACACGCCATCGTTCTCTCGTACGATAACGAATGCATATTATGACAATTTTTTTGCCAGTTCTCAAACTACTATACACCATCCATCTATACACAGTTGGAGCAGTTCTCACGATTTTTATTTACTCTACAATCTGTCTATTTAAAGTCAAGAGACTGGTAGAAACTTTAATTGACCGTGACATTAGAAATTCTATCGTTCATTGTTTGTTTAACATAGTTGAATTAACATCTCCGCGATAACGTTATAAATTTGCATTGTGTCGAATTATAACTTACCGATTAAATCCCGTAGAAATGACTTAAGTCATTGTGTAATAAGTTATAGTTACAAGCGAAACGTATATCATTATAGGTGTCATTCATTATCATTGTACGTATCTCTGCCTTTGAAGTGCAGCATTTATCCGTACATCTGACGCTGACTCACGTAAAATTCTTACGTAACGAACGTCCTCATCTTTCCCCTGCTATGTTTTCTTCTGCGTTCTTGATACTTTTACTTTTCTTCGTTCGATATTATAAAACAAGAAACGTTGACTTGTTGTTTGAATTCCACTTACGTTACATTTTTTATTCAATTTTGTTTCCCTTCTCTAATTTTGCTTCACCTTCAGAGTCACTTCTTTTGCCGAAAACTTCACGTATTTCTAAGAAAATTACTAGTCACATAATTGTGCGATCCATTACATCGAACCAACATTGAATTCCGTTCAAATGAAACGCCTGGAGAAACATTGAAGGATTAATAGTAACTTATCACTCTACGTCACAAAATTTCAGTTTGTGGTCAATCATTGTGAAAATGAACGATAGTCCACGCATTGGACCGAGTATTTAACATAGCAAGTGTTTTGCAAACGTGATCAAGGAATATTTTTTCGTCGGTAGATTGTCCTCTTACGATATCCTCTTACGGTTTGACGTCACTTTCGAACAAAACGATGAACACGTTAGTCATCTTCCTTATAATGGTCTTCATCGAATCTTCTTCGCCCATTCGTTGACAAGTTACTCTTCTCGCGTAGTATTATACCATGCTTCGTATTCAGACTTCTCTTATAAAGCTTGCTTTTTAATCGAACGTGAAGTAAACGTCTGTGACAAGATGATGTATTATTTGCGAGGTTGGCGAAGAATGCGACACAGTGGCCACCGTTCCAACGTGGCGTACGCACTCAAAACATACCCACCTGTTGATCATTCGTAAGCTTACAGGTTGTCGCGGCCGAAGCATCGACCCTACCTCTGAAAACGGGGAACGATTGAACCAAACTTATCAGTTCGCAGTGTTAACAAGATTTGTAGAGAAATAGTTTGGAGTAGTTTGATCATCGATTACGTATGATTGGTATCAATTGAGGCAACAACCCTAAGAAACGGTGAAACATAGTATCAAACTTATCAGTTAAGAACGTCAAAAATTTGGAGTAGTTTGATTATCAGTTACGTATGATTCACATTAACAGAGGTTTCTCGGTGTAACGCGTGTATTTTGAATACGACACTCCAATATTTCGTCAGCATTGTAGCTTCTCCATATGTTAAATGACACACTGGTATTCGATATCGATAGACTATGAATGTTCATGCAAATTCATATTTTCCGAGATACAAAAAAAAATATTGAAAGTTAAACGAAAGTATATCGTCTAAACTATATTTTCATTTGACATAAATGCATGAAACATCCGTACTCTAGATATCAATTATCAGTGTGTCATTTATCTCCTGAAGAACCTAGCTGCAATCCTAGCGAAACGTTGGAGCATTTAATCCAAAAAAAACAACATACATCCGAAAGCCACGGTTGATATCGACCATGGAGAACCAGACCAGGAAAGACTAAAATATGTTACCAGTTACGCAATAACGACAAAAGACGATCGATGCACCGAAGCTTCTCGCGCGGTCGCGAGTCCTCATCCCTTCGTCCATTCGAAGCTGTGGCTGCGTTAAAGACCGTCGCGTCGTACCGTGACAATCAGCGGCAATGCATAGTACGCACGGCGGCGAAGGGAGGAGAATGGTCATAAAACGGCGTATAATAAATCGACGAACGTATATACGTGTACCGCAACCTACCGCAACGCACTCCGGTCAGAGCATGGACACGATCTGACAGATAAGGGGGTGGCGGGACGGGCGTAATGGGGTATAATTGTCGCGAGCAATGCGAGGACAGTGCGTCATTACCGCATTTTTCACCATCTTCTTGCCGGCCAACGGTAGAGATGCGCTTTGCACCGGTGTTCACAGGCTTTGCACGCCTTACTTTTTTCCACGCAGCCGCGGGTTCTCAGGAATTTCGTTGGAACGCCGTCGCCGAGCGTCGTCGTTGAGGTAGGCCCTAGCTGTACCGTCGACACCGTCCAGGCCACACGGGGCGAAAGTACAAAAGACGCGAGTACCGACCGTTAGGTGACCGCCTACGAAATATCGTCGGATTAATCCTGGACAACGCGATTCGACGAAGAATCCTAGAAAAGGATTCGCGGTTACTCGAACAGTTTCAGATGTTCGAGACTTTCGTGGCTCGAATTTTAGCAATTCGTATGGGTTTAAAAAGTATTCCGACCGCAACGTTGCAACTTGCTTTGTAGATGCGTGGGACGTCGGGCGTTTTTCCAAAAAGATGCCGATTGTATCTCGAATCCTCGAGTAGTATGGAGCAGTCTGATTTTGATTACGAATCCTATGAGAATGATCGTTACTTTCAATCTAAGAAAACAGACGTTTGATTCGACAATTGGGTTTTACAAGAAATATTCTTACTTTCGGTTTAATTCCGAATTTCACAAGAAAAGATACAGAAACCATTTACATCTTTCGCCAACAAGAGACAAGCATACGTCCAATTTACTTCGGTAATTGTTCTTACAAAGTAAACGTCATAAAAAACAAAGAATGCAGTAAAAATACTTTGAATCTCCGTAGACCTAGTGCTATTGAAAAATTGTGCTTTGTTCGCCAAATGTCTATCCAATTATTTAAGTAAGAATTTTACTAACGATTAATTTGGTACACGTTTTCGCAACAACCAACAAGCCCCTTTTCGGAAAGCTTGTCAGCAATTTTGCAAACGAACTGAGATAAGGGAATAGTTTCTACACGAGTCAAATCCGTTGATGCATTCCAGTTGGCAAGGTTGCAGGTTACAAGCCACAGGTGGCTCTTTAGACTTCTTACACTGTAAGAATGCGAACTTGCTCGAAAGTGCACCTATCATCGTAATTCCCTCCTTGGACAAATTTGGCCAGCGGCGGCGCACATATCGCATGGCAATTAAATTCCAGTAGTATAAAAACGTGGCGCGATTAAAGAAACTGGCGAAAGTACACTATGCGTACACGAACGACAAGTAAGGAAATATAGTCGTCGACGCTGAGATCATTTACCTGGATCCCGACAACTTCTCGTGCGATAAAAATACTTACCGCATTATTGAATAGACATTTTACGAAAAGTGCTCGGTTGTTTGCGCATGTTCACGAGAAGTCGAGCGCTAACGATATCGTTCCGACGAGGTAGTTAGATCTTAATTGCGTGTTTTTCATTTCAATCGTCGTTCCACCGAACCGTTCGTTTTCTACCTAGATCGAGACAGATATCGTGAAACCGTTAGCGCGGTTCGAGCTCGTACGCATCCTGATATTCCTGATAAAGTAACCAAAATAGACCCGCGAGCGTGCACATCGACGTGCCGGTCCGAGTCACGTGTAGATGCAAACGCGTGCGAGAAAATTCACACGACTTCCAACGAAACTTAATGCGACACAGATAGCGTGTGACTTATCTATCTTTAGCCAAAATTCCATCGCAATCTGTTCGGCTAAAATCGAGGCGCGTGCCTGCCGCTTATCGTCCAATATTTCTGTCTCCCGACTTACTAAGAATCACCGCGTCGCCCTGGAGACTGGAGAGGGAGCGAGGTTCGAGCAATTACCGGGTAGTCGCAAGAAAAGATACCACCGTTAGACGGTGCGCGCGACGACACGGTTTTCATGGTACTTTGGGGCGCAAACTTCCCCGCGGCAAATTACTCTCTCACCAAGACGCGAAACGCACTTAAGAGCCGCTCATTAATATGCGTTAAGTGTCCGAGATGTCTCCCTGCCCTCTCCCTCCTACCCTTCTTTTCGCTGTATCTTTCTCTCTCTTTCTTTGTCCGCTTATTTTTCTCCTTGCGACTCGAGAACGCGTCCGCCGCGCACGTTGCGTCACGTGTTGCTGCACATTAAAATTAAATTCGTTGGCGCCCGTGCGCTCGCGCACCATACCTACATTTTCCAGTCCCTGATACGATCATTGTATGGTCAAACGGTTCGTTTATATAATTACAATATGCCGCATCCGTTTATGGATCACGGTTACATGGGCAAATGTTTCTCCTTGTACTTATTCTTGTGCGGATTCGATGCGTGTGCAAACAGGAATGTCGAATAACGCTGTTTAGGCAAACCGACGCGACCGCGACACGCTAGCATCGTTTCGACTCTTGCGAATCAAACGCAGAATATGCTCTTCGAAGCGGGCATACTCGACAGCATCACGGGGAAAAGGACGGTAGTGTTTAAACGGAGAAAGAGAAAACGTGTACGTGGCAGACTGCGGTGGTTATACATCCTCCGAATGCGTACGCGACTGCTGATGGTTTGTCGTCGTAGCGGTGCACGTGATCCCAGGCCCCTCATCAAGGGTCGTAACTCGTGAAATAATGCGACGACGAATTCACGTGGATGTAATTCGACGAGCGGTGATCCCGAAACTGCCGGATGATCATAAGACGGCCTCGATCGAAATCTACCATTTAGGCGCTTACTATCGACGAAGAGAGTGTAACCGAGGGTGCAACATGCCGGAAGCTCCCAGGATGATTTCTCTCGAGGGTATCCTCTCCGAGAGTCTCACGTCAAATCGTTGATTGCTACCAGTCAGCGAGCTGGTTCTTATCTCCTTAATACACGAACGACTCTGTTAATAACGTACCGCGGTAGTTAACCATGAAGTGGAAAACAAGACCAACGGAATCGAGAAATTAATGGAACTGTATCTTCGATTTTGCTCGATCCTTGCATTTTTACGGAGACGCACATCGCGTTAAACAGTAATACACGTAATCTTGCAACGACGATACTCGAAGCAACCTAGGGAACTTTATTTGACAGAATTCTTAACCTTTCACCGGTTCTTTGATACTTTCACACCTTCCTTTAAGTAGATCCCCTTTCGAACGAGGACCGTTACCTAACTTTCGATGCATCTTGTTAAGAGATATCTTTCTAGACGGTGTTTCGCGTTTGAAACATTTCATATCATAGTAATACATTGTTGTTTATGGCGGTTATTCGAATGATCGACTTTATTTTCAGGGTTAGGCAGTCTTCTGGTGACTCTGCTCGTGATCTCGGTACACGGCGCTCCGACGATGACCCTCGAGAGTAGACGACTGAGCTCGCCCCCGAAGTGGGTGAATCCCTGTGGCCTTGCCGCCGAAGACTTCACCGGTGATTTGGACGTGGTGCAGCTATCCGACTCGCAGCTCCTGCACCAAGTTGTCGTACAGGCGAGAACTGCGCTAATGCACGCGGAGCTTTTTCGTGAAGATTATGTGAGTACACTTACTTATCCATCTTTCTGGATTTCTCTTGTTCGCCGTTGCGCGTTTGTCGTCCTTCCGTCAGAATAGCGTTTTCGAGTACGTCGGTTTCGCTACACTGACACAGTCTGCTCGCGCGCGATATCGACGATCGGAGACGAAGATTAAGTTCATCAATGGTTCAATAATTACTGACGTGACTTGTGGTGGGGATAAGACGGGGAAAGGGGACATCGAGCGGAAGGCAGTTATGGCAGTACTTCCGGTCGTACGGACGTTGATCGTAGAGTCCTGTAAGCCTTCAAAAGAGATCTCGGACTTACGAATCGTCTGTTGTACCCAGTCGAAGATATGCGTTTCGATTTAGCCTAAATGTCACGTGAGAATCTTGCGTTCATGAACCTTTGTAATTCGAGGAAAAAATACACTTTTGGTGAATAGAAATTAGAGTATAACGCTAACATACGAGTAGGTAAATCGAAATTTTTAAAACAAATGCGTGCAATCAATGTGTATCGCATTTTTAAATATTTCGTACGTGTATTAGTTGATAGTAATTCACTTCCACCGCTCAGAAAATGTGTAGTTTTCTCACGATTGTACGAATTTATTACGAATTTATCCGTTAAATATGAAAATTAATCGTGTCTAGAAGTACACTTTTTTTTTTAGCTGTAAAATCCTCTATGAGTTTATTAGCAATATGCACGTTACTGTGCATATTAACAATATATATATACATTTGCATATGGTATATAAACATTAAACAAAAAAATAGAAGACATTCCAACTAACTTTTAATCAATATACATTTACGAATGCTAAGCGATGGCTTTTAAGAAATTTATATATGATTAACAGTGGCGCAATGACTGGTTTTCCCATGTCTCATATTATTATTCCACGTGCACTCGTGAACTCCAAGTCATGCGATTCGTTGGTTCCAAAATTATTTCCATCGCGTGAACGGCCCTCCGTTTCGTTCAATTTTATTCGCGTACACTATCAACAAATTTTTTATCGGAGTACAATTACCTCTGTTAATAATTTCTTGCCGCCATGCAACTGATCAGCGGCTACAGATAATAATTCGCCCGAACGTTCAAACATTTCAATATTACTTTTGGTGTACGATGAATTGGAAAGTGACCGCGACAAAATTGCCCCATTTCTCTTATTTCGATTATTACGCGTAATGTTTATTGACCATAATTGCACACATCGGAAACGTAAAGCGTGGTAAGTGGCGGAGATGCGATTCCTCGATGCCAGCAAGAGGAAACTTGTTCGATTTCGTTTCGCTGGAACGAATGCAACGTATCGTTGCCATTTGCGACATTTAAACGTCGATGGATACCTTCTCTTACCGTTTCTTCTTCTTCTTCTTTTTTTTTTTTTTTTTTTTTATGGCTATTATGAAATGTGGAAGCGAGATCATGAAAAAGGAAAAGAAAAAGAAAACGAAAAATAGATCCGTACGACCGCGCATGAAGATGCTTCGTTTCGAAAGAATCTTCCCAGCCGATCGTGCCTTATTATCTCTAACCAAGGACAATAAATCACGGTTCGGGTTCGACCTGTTGCTCAAGGTTCCTCTTCTGAAACGATCCGAAAAAAGAGACGTGGAAACCGCAGGATCGAAGGTACGGTTACACACGCGAAACTTTACTCTCGTTTTTTTAAGAATAGATTAAGCTTGTCCCCCTAGTTATGCATCGTGCACACGTGTCGACATGATTTCGGTTCTATAACTGAACGTCCTTACGTGCCCGCCAAATTCTTGGACCCACCTGACTCATCCTTCGCAACCGCGCTCTACGCGCTTCCTGTTTCTCTATTACGTCGGGAACTCGTCGTATGCACTGTACAGTTTCGATTACATCGTTGCCTCGTGGGACATCGAAGTAGTATCGAATAACTCGCATTCTCTTCCGTTTGTTTTCGATAAATTATCAGTAAGACGCGTTTAGCGCAGCTTTGACCAATTGTCTGTTAACGGTTTATCTGTTTGTTAAAGTTCGGTCTGTCAAAGTGTTAATTCGAGGAAAAAGTTCCAATTAAGTAATTCAGTTCATTTAGAATCCAAATTCAGGAGCTGGTCATTTTACAAGAATGTGGCAAAAGCGATCGGTAACGGACTCTTACGAATATGGCTCCGAGCCTGGTGCTGTGATTATGACGCCAATATTATGCCGCCTATACAAAGCGAATATATGAACGAAAGAATTAGCATTCATCGAGTGCGACCGCAGAGGGTATTTGTGTTTCTCTGTACGTATAGGGCCCGTTCCGCCCTGTGGCCCCACCGAAGTCACCGTGGAAACGGTCCGCGTTACATCATCGCTCGACGATACTCGATACCGATATTTTCTAACTCAGCGCATAATCTGATATTGTTTGGTTCCCTAACAATCTGCCCCCTTCTTCCTCTTTCTCAGTTCTTCTTTCCCTTCTTGGGAAAACGAAACACTGTACACCGGTGCGCGTAAGCCACGCTATCGAAAAACGAACGACCAAGTGTTCCACGGTACGGAATCGTTAACGTCCTCCGACATTCTACCTTTCTCGGACACCAGTCTCCGCCAGGGAGTTCTAAAGACGTCCCTGCTGAGACTGACTCTAGGCGACGCACTGTCTGCTACGTCCAGTGACGTCAGCTTTCAGGTCTTGTTATCGTTTTATCGTCGGCAGACACTCTATAGAGAAAAAGTAGATTAGGAGTCGGTACCGAGAAGCAAAGGAGTTCCGTGTGACCGATCGTTCTAGCATGCACGTGAAGTGCATCGCGATACAATTTCGATCCGCGAATCCTTTGTTCGCGTAGCAACCGAGTCAACGATTAACCCTTTGAGCTCGACATCTTCACTAGGGCGTTGTTAGTAGCTCCAGACTTCTCGATATTAATTTAAAATGGTTTTACACACAGATCGATGTACGAATGTCGTGCTCATTTTTCAAAGAAACGATAGAATAAATATTAAAGCAAACCTTAATGGCGAGCACGTGAGAATTGTGTGACGCGTCCTTGCGAGATGCTCGTAAGCAGGCGTGTACATGTGAATTACATCCGATATACTATTCTTCGTAGATAGGAAGTTCGACGCCTACGAGTTGCATATATGCGCATCGGTACGTGAAGGAATCGGATAAAATATCGGAAGCGGAGGATTCCAATAAATCAGAATCGGAAGCTGCCCCTCCCGCCAAGGATGGGGCATCTATACACCACACCGGCACTCCGCCTGCATACTAAAACCCAGACCGGATACACAACCCGCCAGTGCATTTACTCGCCTCGATACGTTCAGTACGCACTACGACACGTATTTTCTGCTACTCGGCTGGCTGGATGACACTCCATACTGTTTCATTCAAGGCTGACATATTTTTCAAATACACATGGCCGCGACCGATAACCCACGCCGGAAATTAATACTCGCAGGGCTGGCGCCAAAATTTGCCGAGTTTTCTTTACAATTTTTAGGATCGAGAATCGTAGGGATTCTGTTAAAAAGAAAATAAGAAATTGATTTACGCAAAATTGGAGTGAATTAACAACTATATTTACCGTCTTTCACGAGTGAAATCGATTTATTAGAATTAATTAGCAAGCTTTGACAAAAATGAATGTGGATGTATGCTTGTCTCTTTATGTAGATAAAAGTCAGCAAAAGTGGTTAACAAAAAAAAGCTTAACGATTTCTGTAATTTTCTTTGTGAAATTGGGAATAGATGAAAATGATACTCCGTAAACCTAATGTCAAGATCTATCTTATTCTGAAATTCCTCGTAAGAACTCGCACGGATAGAATTGTTTGTACGTAGTCGGAGCAATTAGTTGGACGTAAAATTCATAGATACCGCAAAAATGGTGGGGAAACGATCGATTAAATGAAAAATCGGTTGAAATCGAAAATTGTTCACTCGCAACGAAGCGTTTCTTTTGTCTCGTTGAGCGCAGAGCCGTGGACTTGCGAGCAGCGAGCCATTCAATCGGTTCGAGGCCGTCGCACCGAAATTTTATAACTTCTAATAAGCGGTGGAGCGGTGAAGCCGCGCTAGAAGAAAGACTGAGAGACTAATTGATTTTGACGGGTCCTCGAGAGTACCGCAGAGACCATACCTACTCTTGCCAGCCTACTTCCTGTCAGTTTTCAGCTCGATTTTACGATTATTCGTGCTCCGGTGTGGCCGAAGAGACTTTTACGAGGCACAAAAGACCCGCGTCTCAGATTTGTTCGCCGCCAGTGGTTGTTAGCGACAATTCCTTTCATTCTTCGCTTTTTCTTCTCCCGCTCCTATGCGTTCTCCCGCTGAAATCTCTTCGCGATTACCTCGAAACGGGCAGCAATACCAGAAATTGCGGATATTTGCGATCCGTCCGTTTCGAACGGATAAAACAGGACCTTTAAAAGACGCGTGCAGGTTCCTTATTCCGCGGTTCGAAAGTGTATGTATCCGTGTGTCAGGAGTTGTGGCCAACTAACAAGCTTATGCATCGAAACAAGCCATAAAACGCGCGGATGGAATTCGAGTAGTTTCTTCGGTCGCTTTAATTCGGGAGAGACTGAAAAGGTACGAAGATCATCTGTGAAATGAACCCGTAGGGATTCGTTTGAACGTATTTATTAGGGAACCATTCGCGTAAAATAACCGTAAAATGCTGATGAAGTAACACGTATCCGAGGATCCCTTGAAAGACGAAGTTATCGGCGTCGATAATTACAACCTGTGACGCAATCGGCGATTGCTCCGTTTTAATCACCGCGTTTAGTGTTTCCAACACAATGTGTCTATTTTGAAAGGTGTCGATATCTTCCTAGAGGGTTTCGTAATTATTTGGGCGTGGAAGAGGATCGATTACCGATAACGGAGACCGGATGGCTTCGGATGTACTGGACCAAAGACCGTGTTCGCTGTGAGAATTCGTTCGATGAAGTAATCCGATTCTGTTCTCGTTTTTATAAATTTGGTGCGTTCGACATTCTTAGCTTTTGGGATCTACAATTGCTCGATTCTGGATACACATTTATATCTCGACGCTAATTTCAATTCTATTACCAAAATGTCTTTAATTTTCATATTTGCTTTATCTCTAATATTTGATAATATCTATTTATATTTTCTACGTTGTTAATTATAATAAACGTTACAATCAAATATCAATATTAGATCGAACGAATGGTGAGTATCTCTGTAGTAAATAATATGTACGAAAACGAATAATTTATCGAAGGCAAATGGAGCGTCATTCCAGCCAGGAGTATAATTCGAAGAAATGTTGCTTGCCTGTTAAAGCTATTATCGCAGTCTGCGAGTCGTGAGAGTAATATCGTATGATGATTATTTCCATTCCTGGGCCAGATAAGGGTTTGGATAATCTTGTTATCTTTATATGAGCCAGCTGGTTCAAGACGTGAGGTCGAAGACACGCTGAATGAAATACCCGTTGATGTACTACGTATGTGAGCATCAAATAAGCTAAGCCTCAATAACCTCTCATTTTTTCTTTTTCTTCTTTTTTTTTGGTATTTGTTGTTAATTTCTATGAAAGAATTTGTAGGATGAAAAGCAACAATAATTGGTAAGATTGGAGTGACACCACTCATTAATTTTCGACTTTGTAGTAATTTCGTCGATGGCACGATGATCCATTCTTGGTTCCAAATTTTCTTCTTAATTAAATTGTTTGCTTCGTTAAGTATGTGTGAAAGGAGAATCCTTGCGTGCAACATCTTTGTCGCGTTTCGGCGCGTGTCGGTTCGACCTTGCGATCGTTTCAGATCCTTTTATATTACGCGTGCGGCGCTTACGAGTTTCACGAAAATGAATGATCCCGAAGTTGTCGCGTGAAGCGAGGGCTTCTCCCTACCTTCTTCTCGTTCCACGCGCACCGCGTTGCCGGTGATTCATAACTACATAACCAATGGAAACGATGCCCCGATAGCACGTTTAGCGTGTCTGATTCGACACGTCGACTCTCAAGTAGTTTTAGGTAACGGTCTAGCTTTCATGTGCCGACGACCTACCTTGGTATTCCCCAAAAAGTCAGCAACGTAGCTCGAGGCAACCTGGGTGCGTTGGATTCGCGATGCGAAGACATCACTATGCACACATGACATTAACTCTTCGGGGCACGGTGGGATTAAAAGTGTCCCACCTTTTTGATGGACCGTAACGCATGGTGGGATATTTTTAATCTCACTTCGAAATTTTGCAATAACTGCATGTGTATAGGTGTGATATCTTTATTAATAAAAATATAACAATTTTGTTTGATTTAAAACGCAATAAAATTCCTGTGCAACATGGGTCTATTTTATGACCTGAATTCCTGTCCCGCAAAGAGTTAAGAATGACACAAATCATCCTTAAGATAACGTTTCAAATCGTGCGCCTGCGTTCAAAACTTATCACAGGTACTCTTACCAATAACACGAGCGTTTTTATTTCATTTATTTATTCAGAATTTTTTTTACGTATGTGCATATAGCGTTCCTCTATATCCAGAAATATCCCTCGTAAGAAGTAATTGTTTCGGCATCGTTACGATACCTTGGAGACTCGCCGTCCTTGCTCCAGAAGTTGACAGTTTCTCGTCATCATCCACGGCGTACCAGCGATACCAAGTTGAGCTTACTCATCCGTCAACGCGTTCATCCACGTTCCCATCGTACCAGGAACGGGGGATATCGTGAGCCTGATTGCGTACGGGGCGCTACAGCTCGCTTAATCAGTGACTAAACCCGCTAACCTGTTATTGAACCACACAGCTCCCCTAATGAAGGAGCCGTGCAAATTTTTGCATATTAACGGTTACGACTTTGATGCAAAACACTACGTCGAGTTTCAGAATAAAGACATTCAACTGAAACGATGAATCGTTTCATGGCCGATCATTGGTACCCCCGATGTGTGAATATAGGTTATTTGGATGGCACGAGAATATTATCGCGAAAAAATACTCTTTCGCCATAAATCCCTTTCGTCGATGTTCTCCTTACTTACATACAAGGCTTCGTTTTCGGTAAATTAAAGGTTTCGGGTTCGGTGCTGTTTTCGTTAGAGAACAACACATTAGGTTTAATATAATTAAGCAATAAAAACAGTTCAGTTGCAACAGTTTTTCCTATCTCTCCTTAGAGAGGAATGGTTTATGCAAAATGTTTTTGCAACGATAACATTTCTAACGTGTAAGAAACTTATACACGTTGATGAACTTTGTCTGAAAGAATTTTTCTTATCGCTTAAACTATCGAGCCTGTCAAATTGTCCAATGTATTTGAAACTTCTTTCTAGAGTCACTACTCAATATTTAACAATGATTTTACGTAATTTTGATTTACAATTAATTTAAGTTGTGTGTGTAACAGGTATCCGTTGACCTTGGTAATTTAGTGTTACCTAAAATTTCGTGTGCTTTTGCCCTGAAGGGAGGATGACGATGATATAAAATATGATTGCCTTTTTCCTTAGTCTCATTTCTAGTTCAAGATTCCCGTAACCAAACTCATCATTTCTTTTCTTGATTTTGCAGGCCAAGCGAATCTTCAACATCGATTATGCCGATTTGCATTCGACGTTTAAAGACCATCATTACGATTGGCTTCCTGGACCAAGGGAGATTCCCAAGGAACTCGGAGGGCAGTTGGAGCAGGAGTATCTAGATACGCTGGAGGTAAATGGAAATACTTGTTTGTTTCTTCTATTTTTCCCGTGTTTCCTGCTTCTGATGATGAAGACAGGTACAACGTATCTACGCTTTTTCTGTTAAAAGGCATCGAACGTTAAAGCATTTTACTGAATGTGATCAATCTTCTTCATAGCTCGACACGGCCCTTATCGACGCGTACGAATACATGCAAAAGTATGCAGTCGGTTTGGAACAAATCGTCTGGGATCAAGAGGATCTTCAGCTCGAGTTTCGCAAACAGTTTAAGGATACAGAATACAGGCTCCGAACGGTAAGTGCATATTCATAGCTGAAAAATGTATTTTTTTTTTTAATAGCCCGAGTCACGATACTTTATTTTCCGTTTACTTCGCTACTTCGACAAAAAGTAGTACCGAAGTGCCAGGTATAATTAGCCTGAATCATAGTACCTTTCATTGTCGGGAACGTTATATCAAACGCTCCGATTTTATGAGTTTTACGCAAAATTGAGCTGCAAACATTCTAGCCGCAGGATAAAAAACATTATGGGTTTGTCGTTCGTTAACTAGTGTCGCTTGCTGCTTTGTCAGGCTAGTTTCCGTTCGATTTCTCCGATTTCTCAAGACTACGGTTATCACAGAGGTTTCACTTCAAACAAAAATTGAAAAATACATTGTTTCTTTCCATTTGCGTTTGTGCAATCATATTTCAAAACAAACTTCTTGTTAGGACGTTTTTTTTTTTTTAATTTATATTATAGTCTTTTGTAACTTTAATTATTTTCTACGAACCAAGTCTCATGGTGTACTAATATGTTCTAATTGCCCCTTAATGTCCCATCTACTCCGTTTACGTTATGTCTAAAACGAAAAATCTCCCATGGACCGTCGGAAAGAAACGTATATAATACAGGTAATTTTGTTTTACAGGTTCTCTGCGAGTTGCAAGTGGCGCTAGTGGAACGGCAGCTGTCTTCGCGACCGGACGTCACTCGCGACATCATGAGGTCTGAATTCCGTGCCATGTCATCGTCCGCGACATTCCGAAACCTACGCGACTGGCTGATCTTTCGGGATTACATGAACGGTCTCGAATACGTTGTGCAAGTATTCGAACACTTACGCCGCGGCCTCCAATCCTGAGGATGGCAAGGCGGAAGCCGAAGAAGGGCTACCAAGCGACGACTCGTCCATCTCAGGAAACCGGAAGTACCCTTCTTGTATGGCCAGCTTTCTTGAGATGGCCGATGGAAGCGGGTATCAGAGGAAAGGCTTAGGCGTGCTCTGTCAAGCAGGCCATGCTCTACCATCCGTCCCGAATCCAGCGTGATGTGTGACTCCAACGCGACGATCGACCTATCCATCGATAGATATCTCGATAGAAACCGATAGATATTTCGTATCGTCGGATCGCAAAATTGTGCGCAAGCGTCTTTACCGAGTTGTTCGGCACAACTTTGAGACAGGGAGCGACGGAAGACATTGCCGAGTCTCGTTGATAAACGCCAACCATCATCGTTAACGCTCGCTGTTGAAGATTCCGTGAGATGATCGGAGAGAGAATAAGACGGGAAGCGGAGTCGTTCGATAAACAGCCCATCGGCTTTCGCCGCCGAGTTCACGATCGTGAGAACACACATTCGTCTTGTATACGTTTACGCTAATTACGAAACGCGTTGTGTACCGCGCATCAACAGCCACGTCGAACGTGTAACCCTAACGCGCGAGAAGATGGATTAGGGAGTGACAAATCACGAAAATCGGCCAGTTCTGACCGATATCCTTCTCCTCGCTGAGCTCTCGAGCGCCGAACAAAGACTCGTGTGCGAGCTTCTCCATCTTTTCGGTTTACTTCACGTCGTCCATCGAGGGCGTTCTCGTATCGATTAATTTTGGAATTCCACGCCATTGGATTTTACCTTTGGATTCATACCTTTAGACATTTTACTACTAAACGTGTTTCTACATTTTTATCTATCGGTTGCGAATTTTACCCAGCGATTCAAATCTTTTAACTGCGGTCCTTTTTTAAAGAATGGTATATTCAAAGTGGAAATTTCCCTCGATGAACTAAGTTGGACGAATGATTTTATATTTGTTTCCTTTTTTCGTTCAAAGAAGTGAAGTAATACGCAGAAAATAATGCTCGACGGAAGTCGAACGAAAAATTTGTGAGATCGTTCGCACACGGAAGGGAGAAGAGAAATGGATTCCGATGGAATCCGACTAAACGAGCTTGTGCACCGCAGCGGTATTATATCCTAAGTACACAAGAAAATACAGTATTCGCGCTTTAAGTTAAACCATTCGCGTCGAGCGAGATGAAATTATAGAAATTTCTGCGCATAACTATGTATATCGCATAGTATCAGGAAAGCGAAGATCTTTACGACGGTGTCCTTGTAACGCCGAAGAGCACGTCGGGAGATTCGTTTTTCGATAAACGATACGCGCCCTTTGCCCCCCCCCCCCAGCCCCTTTTTAATCCTACATAATAATTTATTGACTAACTGTAATATTATTATATTCGTATTTATTCAGATTATTTATTTTATTTTTTTAGAGATTTTACATGTCCGATTAACTGTATTTAATGTGTCTAGTTGAGCTTGAAATTACCTAGAGCATAGGAGAGAAATAGAAGGATATATATTTCAATAATTATTAATATCATTAGTAGAATTCTCATATCGTAGTGGAAGAAGGACACGCATCGACGCGGCCGACGCCATTTTATGTTACGCGCCGCGCTGCTGCTGCTACTCCTTTCGCTTGACGTACCTTTTCACAGTATGAAAACGTAAATTCGATAAGAAAACTACGACCAATGGCTTCTTCAACACCCCCCGTTCTTTTTATGCGTTGCAATTTCTCACGGTACAATAGCACGTCTCAATTAGTTTTAAATCGATTTTATCCGACATTGGTTCAACGGATGGCGCTTTAGAAAAAAATCTCTTCCTATTTTTTACTATTATTTTAGTTTTGTCTTTTTTTTTTGATAACCGAAGTCAATACTTCCTCCTTTTTTTAAGCGATATTCGAAACTGTTGTAGGCTCGTCGAGACGTACCTTTTCGATGGCTTGAAGACATCGTTTTATTCACAAAAATGACCAGCGTATTTACTTTTTTTTTTACTACGAAATTTTAACCAATTACGGAGTTTACTCGTATTTTTTTACCGCGATGTTTTTTAGGGGAATTTTATCGTTCTTTTTAATAATATTCAGGCCAAGAAGGATGCGTCGTACGAAGCCTCGCACCAATATTCGCTCGAGGGTAATTGACCTCGCAGGCTCTTTTCGTACTTACAATTTGCTACTGAAACTTAAATACAATTAAGCATTGTGTCTTAAACATCGTCGTGCGAGAAGACGTGGAGCCGTGTGCCGTTTTATTTAATTTTCATACCATTAGCGACCTATATAAGCTTATCATAGATAGTTGGTGGATGAGCGTGTTAAGGCTCGCGGCTAATCGCACGCGCGATATTCAAGTGTACGCACACGCGCGCATTATACAAAACACACTTTCATTTTCATATCATCGTGTCTGTGATATGCATTGTCGAAAGTCCCTCATGCGAATAATTGTCATTGTTATATCGAATTGCCCGATTCTTCTGCCGCGAAAGAAGTAAAAAGAGGAGAAAAGGGAGAATGGAAGAGCGAGGAGGAACGCGTGCGAGTGTGAATGAGAGACCGAGAGAGAGAAAGAGAGAGAGAGAGAGAGAGAGGCCTATCTGTGCGACAATGTCGATCTCGTAAATCGATCTCCTATACGCATTTTCACTTCATCGTGTTGTTTTATATACTTTATTTTAATAGACAGTCTTTCGTCCTTTGAAAGCATTAATCATTTTTTTTTTAGTATTTTCCTTTTTTATTAAATAAGGAAGACTGCCATTCAGTTCGATTGCTTGAATCATCGTGAAAATCGAATATATCGACGAATACAATTTGGGAAAGCCTTACGGCACTTAAATGTTTCGATCGCAAGCAGCAGCGCAGCCTGTTCGAGCGTCTATTAGCGATAGAATTCTACCGATTGCCGATCGAATTTCATTTTCTTATTTTTCTTCACCGTATGAATTTTCTTTCGTCGGTTTCTTAAAATTGTTTTTCGTATCGAATAAGGATCGCATAAGGATCGAAGTAAGAACAACATTTGGCGATCTCTCTGTCTCTTCATATTAGAAGTGGTGTATCCGTGTAAATGATACGTAGAACGTACCGGGCATAGTAACGACACGGTTATTCACGTTTTCCTCGAACGGTTTTATTCGTTCAGAAATGCTGAACGGACGGTCCGATGAATCGGCGAGTATCGTTGACCTCGACGATATGGGAAGCCTACTTCGATGACAGAGCCGGGTACACAGTCTACGTCGTCGATACACACGATACATGGGAAATTTTGTGTAAAATAATTATCGACTGCTTGGTATATGTTGTACATAAACAGATTTGATGATATAGAAGTTGCAGAATATAATTATATATGTGAATATGTAATATCTACACGGGCCCCTTCCCCGAAACGCCCGCTCTGTTGTATCATATTAAACCAAAGACAGTTCAACATGAAATATCTGGCGGTTTATTTGACATCGGTTACACTTTCCAATCCTTTCAAGAATTTTTCCTTAATAACTTTTAATGCTGGATTAATATAAAGTATGTGAAATTCGTATTTATCGTTTACAGAGGTACTCTGGAAAGATTGCTTTATAAGGAGAAACTTTACAATTTTTAAAACGTCGGAAATGCGACTAACGGTATTAATGAGATATTCTATGTAGGTAGTAACGTTTAATACCTTATTCTATATAAGACATCTGGCGTTCAAGGAATAACCATGTTTGAAATCAAAGCATGCATAATTACAAAATTCTCGGGATGTATGAATAAATACACAGTTTAAATTTATAAAACGCTTACGTTCTTCTTGCAGTTGATGGATTTTTAGCTTAGCAAGAATAATCGATTACTATTTAATACCAATGACAATTTTTCGTCCGAGCAAGGAAGACTTGTCGTTTCCCATGATCAATGGCCGAGACGTTCCGTCTTCGGTGCTGCCTACGTCGTCGATGTTTGAGAGGAAACGCGTAAATACATGATCATCATCCCGGGCACGGCTCTGTCCCAAGCCGCCGTGTTTGTCCACGCTGTTAGCTCGTTGTCATCGCTCTCCCAACTTACCTTCTCATAAGGATTTCTACTTCACTCGTGCTGACCGTCTGTTTGACGATCCGTGCCCGTCTTCCCTTCTGTGTCCTCGCCCAGATGGTTTCCCGAGCGCCGCCAAGGTGTCAATGTTTTGCCTAGCCATTAAGATCGTTAGTCCTCATTCCTGCATCACCGAGTACTCCGTAAAGAACGATCCGGACATCGAACGCTATCGTAATTATATCATACAAAGCTTGCTGTCTAGCGTTTATTAACCAAACGAAGTGACGATATTCTTTTGCTCGAGCAAACAATGAAATTATTTAACATGTGTCGTTTATTGGACACGATAGCGTTTATTAATACGTCTAGGTCGAGCATTTTTCCTCGTGTCTCCGAGGGGTCGCGAACAATGTATCGGAAACTAATGTAGACGAGCGAACAGGTGAAATCGAGCGATGATTCACAGGTGCGTCTTGTTTTGAAATATTGTCAGTGGGTATAAATATTCATGCGTCCCGTTATACAACGATCATCGGGTAGCCGACAAGCGTTTAAGCCTGGTTAACAAGGCAAGAGTGAACAGTGAAATCCGAAAGGTCCAGCGCATGCATACCAGTGGACCCAGGAGAGAGAGTCCCGAAAAGGATGACGCGCCGGTGTCTTCGCCGATGATGCAGGTAGGGATCGACGATCGGATCTCATGCGGTGAGGTATGAATGAGTCGTGAGAAGAGGCCAAAAAAATTGGTCGGTACCATGAATGGCTGGGAAAACTGCGACGTTCCCGCGGAGAATGTACCGTCTCTCTCCCCCTCCTCCTCCTCCTTCTCTTCCTCCTCACCTCTGTCTTTTTCGTTTTGGCCGATCCTCGATGACGGCGAAGTGCCGACGATCCTTTTGCACTTCGTTTCGGAGCAAGTCCTGGGAGCGGTCCGGAATCGTCTAGCCTCCGTTGCCGCGGGCAAATACTTCGGCTCCTTTCAGCTCGAAAAAAATAGGAGGCCTCGTTGTAATTAGGACAGTGCGCCCGCATGGCCTGCTGGATGGAGTCTCCACCACCTTCCTCTCCATTCTCCTTCATCACCCGCTATCTCGTCCTTCCTGCCTTTCTCCATCTTCCATTCTTCTTCTCTCTCGCCCTATCTCCTTCCTACTCCCTCTGCTCTTTCCACCCGTCTTCTGTCGTCCTTGAATATCCGAAGGCATCCTGCCGCTACATTCCTAGTGACCCTCGAGACAACTTTCAATAACGTTGAGACAAAAGACTTCCAAAGTTGAGTGGTCCTCGCGCGCCGTGGAACCCTCGCGACCTGCATAACGCCTTGCGCGTGTTGCGATTTCGGCGACAGGGTCGGTGTACGTTTAACACGTTGATCGCCACGGCACCCATACGTGGCTAACAGTACTTTTCGATCAACAACTCGAAAAATTGATTCCAAAAGTTAAGCGTCAATGAAAATAAATTTTAATGAAAGTCTTGAATCTCGATAACGATACAGAAATATATATCACAATAAATGTTTGATTATGTAATTTCCAATACTTTGTAAGTAAAATTTAAAATCGGTAGAAATTTTCAAGAGTATTAGTCTGCAATCTGCAGTCTAGCAATGAACGTGTTAAAAGTATCGACGTCGATTTTTATTTCAATCGACGACAGCCTTGGTCTTTCAATTCAATTCTTGGCCTTTCGAGAAGGGTTGGTTTCGTTTAATTATCGCGCGCAGGTGATTTATCACCCGTTATCGAAACATGGCTAAAGAAAAGCGCAAAGATCTCCGAACCGTTTGCGTGGGAGGCGCGAGTTAGTAAAGTTCGAAACCGTAGGATCGACACCGGGGAAAACGAATCCGGAATAAGGTTACTGTTAACCACCGCTGATTGAGAGGCATTGCTGCGCTAATAGCTTTCGGCTCTCGGCCGCCTACCACAGATACCATGCTACAAAATAGCATCAATTTATTTCACGACTAATTTTATCCGATTAACCGGCTAAACACCCCGTGTACGCCCTTAGGCTAATTGATCGCAGGTTACACCGTTTACGCGACACTTTGTTGACCTTTTCTGTAACGACGAGTAGTTCGATTTGTATCTTAATTATTTGGTAAAATTGTGGCTTATGAGTAGACTAAGGATGTCTATGCAATTATGATAGGTAAAAGTACGATAAAATGTATGGTGGATGCGCATAAATGTAAAGACATATAAAGATTGAGGATATTTATGCGTATTTATATGTTTACAGATTCAGATAAAGTAACGAGATTTAAATGAAAGTATGTTTTATCTTCTAATCAGCGGAACACATCCATGGAAAACGCTTTCGAAGATATCGTTCAGAAAACAAAATACGTAGAATATCCTTTGGCGCTTATTTCGATTAACGAAATTAATTTCTAACAAAGACATAGCTTTTCCTCCAAAAATCGAGCAACTCATATGGAACAACATTATATGTACATCGTTGGAACGTTCGTCAAATTCTGATAGAGCGCAAAAGTTTATTGCCGACAATGGGCCGGGCGTAAGCGGTTGAAATGTTTTATGACACGATTCGAGATACGGACGACATCCCAGGCATTAGGAGGCGGTTTCTCTCGGTGAACGTCGAGATGGCTTCAGAGAAAAGAGGTGCCGTTCGTGGGAACCGTGAGACCGCTTCCGAGAAGTTTGAACACCGCGTAGACATCGACCGGAAAAAAGAAAGCAGATAAAAGATTGGGACGAGGAGGAACGATCAGCATTATGGAAATTCGGCTCTTTCGCAACATAGGCGTCGCCGTAGTGCGCGAACGATGATCACGCATCGGTGGTTCGGGCATAATTTCGGCCAGCTGTTCCGGGCCAACGAGATGCATTTTGTCGCGAGATAACGCGCTGAGGACGATTTGGGCGCGTGGGTGGGACGGTCGATAACCGGTGAAACACACGAACACTTTTAACGACTAATTGCCGTAGATAGGAGCGCTTGAGAAGCTGGGTGTGGAACTGTTATATATCGTTGATCGTCCTCGCGAAATGCATGGGAACCGAAGTCATCTGAACGATGCATGCGTCATCGGTGCTGTATCCATGTGGATTTCCATAACGATCTTGATCTGCGTGAATCGGCTAGCGTTGCGAAGAACGACGGCCGAGCATACGAGAGCGACTAACTTCGAACACCCGTTTCCAATGACGAATATGTAAAGCGACTTCGCCGGCGCGCCTATTGACTAATATCAAAGATTTCATTCTGCTACATTTACCTTTTACATCCTGGGTTATTATAGGCCGTAACGTAGGAAAAGTATTGCTACCTCCTGAAGTTTGACGCACGGATATTTTGAATCTATAAAAAATTGATTACAAACTTTTGTGTAGGGATGTGCATAACACATACATTTTACAATCTTGAATATAATTTGTATGAACTTTAATACTAAATACTTTATGTAAAGAATTTACATTATTAACAAAATTCTTCCTTCTTAATATTATTATTATTTTTAATAAATCACTGTTTTGCATAATATATTAGTCGTTTAGAATAACTTCTATATAATCCGTTCATTTACAACACAAAACAAGAAGTATATGCAAGTGACAAAATGATCGTGTAATATTTTGTTTAATCATGGCTTTCATTTAACGACATATAAATTCCATAAGATAGTGCATAATGTCTTCGACTAGAATATGTATTATGATCGCGTTAAGTCGAGCTCCCCTAACTTAATCTAGCATCTGAAATTTTATTCTCGAATTCCCTCGGGAAACCACAGAATTTCTTGCTTTCGTCGCTAAATAGACCGTTGGACCAATTACTCGGAGATAATTCGGGCATCCATGGGAGTTCTTTACCGAAAGGGAAAAAGAATGAGTCCGTCGTGCTTCGGCAAGCCATTATGGATCGTTACAGATCTTTCAGGCCCTTATGGGAAGTAGTCGCGGCGAGGTAGTCAGTTTGGTGGCGGTGGCGAGGGTTTACGAACGTAGCCTGAAGCGGGACGACGAGGTCGCGACATCGTGACCACGGCCAGCCACTGATTTACATATTGTCCACCGCTGAACCAGCATCGCGGCTTTTTGTTTTGGAATGCCTGCCCAGAGCGAGGAGAGGAGCCTTCCCTCTTCGTTTTTCTCGGTCAGGCTCTCTTTTTCTCTCTGCTCCGTTCGTAATAGCGTCCAGATCCCGACGCCGGTGCTATCCACCGAACCACCAACGTCGATCTCCCGGAGAACTCAGAGAGAAGGCGTCGAGGTAATGCATTCTCATTTTTCGAACGGCAACACCCTTTCTGTCGTTCCATCGGGTGTATACGAACAAGAACGACGATCGACCGATTAGA